GAATAACCGTTTGTGTGGTTACTGCTCTGTCCTAGCATGCTGAAGGACTCATTAATAGGAGAGCAAGTAACTCATAATTATTTTCATGTAACTCTTAACAGATAATAGAGCTTTACTTCCTTAGTTTGATCTTTTTTTTTTCTTTCCCACTTGTCTTTATTATCTCCTTGGCTTTTATACGTGAAATGTTATGAACCATATCACTTGTTAGCAAAGGAAATAAAATAAAAACGGTTTCAAAGGCAGTGGTTAACAGTCTTGATGACATCCTATGCAATTGCGTCTATCATGGGAGTTACGTATCTGGCAAATACACACTGAAATAATGAACTCTGTCCTTTGTTGGTCTCTGCATGTGACATGTTGGGGGGGTCTGATGGATATAAGAAATCTCTGTTTTCTGCACTGTCAGTTATTATCAGAAAGGAGACTTGGTGGAAGAACATGGCATGCAAACAATGATAATGGATTGACCTTTCAACTTTGTGTAAGGAAAGGCAAATCACACACACACATGTATATTGAGTATCCGCGCGCTAGGCTGGACACAACGATGCTGGTTAAACGATGGTAATAGGAATTACCAAGTCTTTACTCAAGCCTAAAATTTACAGACTATGCAAGCAGCCAAACTAATAAATAGGCCATTACAATACCGTGTGATAAAGCTCTTACGTCATGTAATGTGCGAGCATATAAGAGAGTTATTTGACAGGATTAGGAAGGAAATTGGAATGGGCAGAAAAGGATTCCTGAAGGAAATGCATCCAAATTTTTGTTGTGAATGTGACTCAGTTATCCATCTGGCACATAGGATTAGGATAGGCCGTGGTGTGTGCAGGTACGAGGTTTGGATGTGAACTGCATCTTTGACGTGCGGTGTTCCAATAACATTTAAATCATACTGTGTGAATTGAATGAGATAAAAGTTGAAAGCAATGCACACTGAACTAAAAAAGGAGGCAGTTATTGTTTTCATGCGACGTCTTCTTTATTACTATTAGCAGTGTGTTTCTTTCTGTTACTCAGTTTTCTCATTGCCTGTGATATTAGAAAGATTATAACAGCTAATATCTACTGAATGTTCACAGCACACCAGGCACTCTTCACTCTTCAAACACTGTACATATTTAACTCTCGGAAAAACTATCTATATGCAGCTGTACTTTTATTAGCCCCATTTCATAGATGTGAAGACAGAAAGAGTTTATGCAGTTTGCCAAGGATCATGCAGCTAGAGTGTGGGATCTTGAATTTGAGCCAAGACTGAGACTCCTGTTACTGTACTTTAAACTACCTGCTATGCTGTGTCTTTCTAGAGCTAGATAGATCAGAATATATTCTTGCTTAATACAATTTTAATCATTAATCAGTCTATATTATTTTTTATATCCCTTAAGAATCTTCTAGTGGTCATCCTTTATTTTGTTTCTTAATTGTGAGTATGTGGGGGCTTTTTAGAGAGAGAGAGACAGAGAGAGAGAGAGACAGAGAAAGACAGAGAAGGATAAGGTACCTCCCAATAGAACATTTTTGTTTTATCCTTTTTAATAACTTCATTATTTCTTTTTTTTCATTTTTTTGGAGAGGTTTTCGCTATAGGGCACGTGCGCTTGCCAGACAGACAAGAGAGAGACATAGAGACAGAAAGCGAGAAATCACCCCCCAAGGGGGATGGTCACTCCGCAATCCCTTCTCCTCCATTCTCCTCTCGGGATCTTGGGCACGCACGCACACGCGCTCCGCGTGAGTTCTAAGCCACCGGGTCCGGGATGTGAACCGTGGTCAACTACATGGGAGTCCAGCGACATAGCCATTACGCTAACTGCTGGTTCCCAATAACTTCATTATTTCTGAAATACCTCTTCTAGAGAGCCTACAATTTTTTTAGTTCGTATGTTTTGAAACATTCTTCTGTTTCATGTCATAATGTCTTTGATTGATTTTTATACACAGAAACATAAGCATGGACTTCATTTCAGATTCATTACCTGCACACATGTCCATACTCATTTACTTACAGGTTTGAAAGGAGCTGAAAATCTTCTTAATCAGTCATTCAGACCTAACGTTTGAATTCACTTTGCCGAATGGCTGTTGTACCAGGACTTTGACAGATTCCGTTCCAGAAATCTTCCTGCACGAGTCACATCTTAGTATTCACGGTTTCTTCTTTCTTCACCTTATTTCCCTAGCACCAGAAAGTTGGCCCCTGCTAAATGCGCCATGCATTTTGTGGAATGAATGAATAAACGATCAGTTATTAAAACACACACACTATCCTTTAAGTGCCTTTGTAATTTTGCAAAGAAAAAGAATTTTAAAAAATCAGGATGTGAGTGTTTTTGTGCAAAAAGAAAGGCGGAAATAACTAAGGGAAGACTTATTGTTACTTTTTAGCCCTAATGTAATTACTTTTACTGCCATATAGAATTATTTGTAGAAATAAATCCCAATGTATTTTCATTTCTATTATTGAAAAACATTTCAATTTTTTCTGGCAACAATGCAGTGACAGATACATGTGCTTGTTTTTCTTTTACTCACTTGTGAGACATTATCAAGGGCATAAAGGTGCTTTTGTTTTTTCCCTTCTGTTAGCTTATTTTTTTTTATTTTTGGAGAGGTTTTTTTCGCTATAGGGCGCGTGTGCTCGCCAGACAGACAGAGAGAGACATAGAGACAGAAAGCGAGAAATCACCCCCCAGGGGGGATGGCCACGCCGCAATCCCTTCTCCTCCATTCTCCTCTCGGGATCTTGGGGATGCACGCACATGTGCCCGGCGTGAGTTTTAAGCCACCGGGTCCGAGACGCGAACCGCGGTTGACTATGTGGGAGTCCAGTGACATAGCCATTACGTTAACTGCTGGTTCCCTGTTAGCTTATTTTTTGTGACATATTTTTTAAATACTTTATTCAATTTTTAATTATTTTTTAACATTCGATTGCTATGCATCATTTGGCTTGTAAAGAGAATTTACCCAACATGAAATACATCCCAGACCAATCCTCTTGAGAATACTATACATGTTGTCATCGATAGGAGGAAACGTTTATTTTTGACAAAAGAGTTGACATATGTAGAATTCCAGTACCATGAATATTGAGACTGTCGAGCATCTAAGAAGACATGCTCTTTTCTGAATACTGAAGCAGGCGAGTTGAGAGTTGCTGTTTAAGCCTGGATAATGGCCATCTCAGCCTGCTTGAGATGAAAATTTGAACCTTATTCTGAGCTGGAGAGGAAGCCAAGAACTCAGGTCGATGGGAAATACTAAGATGACCTCAGCTTCTATCATGAATAGACTTCTGTGGTCTGTGAGAAGAAAACTGCCGATGTGTGTTCAACCTCTAATTATCCCTTTGTTACCCTTTTGTCTTGCCTGGTAGCATAACCCATAGCAGAACAACCAGTACTAATTGTAATATGTTTTGTTATAGCATCACTGAAATAAAACGTGAATTAGTATTTAGTAAGTCCCACTGTTTTAAAATTGATTCATTTGGGTGTTAAAAATCATAAAGAATAATTTAAAAAGTTAAATCTAAAAAAAATCTATTTAAACCCCCTTCCCTGGGTTCCTATTTAAAAAGCCTCATATGGCATGTTCAAAGCCAAACTCTGATTCATATTGCTTATTCAGGGTGTATTGTTCCAACAAAGTTATTCATAACACCTGATGACGGTGATGAATTCGTGGCTGCTGAGTTGGTTTGGACAGTGTATAGCTAGGTGCCTGATTAAGTGGGAGTTGCCCCTTGCTGTGCTGTGAGTTGCCAACAAAAGCTGAGTCTGTCACAGGTGCTACAATTTGTACGTTAGAAAATTTGCTTCCCAACTTTAATTATCCCCAAAGTCCCCCATTCTGCATCAAGTGCTCAAAGGAGTCAGCATTTTTTTTTTCAGTTTCAGTAATTTGGTATAAATTAGGATTCTGTCTTTTACCTGCATGTTATAGAGATGACAATATAAAATTCTCTTTTTTAGTAGTTTTTCCACTTTGAAATAAGCAAAAAAAAAAAAAAAAAAAAAAAAAGGCCAATAGCCATAACTAAATAACACAGTGACGATGAGACAAATTAGGTTTCTTAGAAGGGCAAGGTGTGAAACACGTCAGTAGTGTAGAGGTTTAACTACCAAGGTGAAGATGGTAAATTGGGAAGTCCTACTTAGCAAAAACAATAAACAAACTTAAGAATGACCTTTTTTAAAAGAAAAATTAAGTATTAATGTGTGTTTTAAATTCTTGGAATTAAATGTTTATTAATAGGCAGTTTCTCATTTATAGAAAAACTACAGAACTGGAGAGAAACTGTGGAAAAAATACTATTTATTTAATGACAGGATCTCACTGTTTTGTGCGACCTCTATTTTCCAAGTAGGTAGGACTACAGGAAAACCCAGATTTCAATGTGAGCTGGGAATTGATCCAGTGCCACCCAAATGGCTTTAGCATGCCTCTTGTGTGATCTTAGCATGGAATGGTGGCATCTGTAAGCTGCAGGGATGGGGCTGAAAAGGTGTCTTTTGACAATACCTCTTACCAAGCCCGCAAGTATCAATCAGCATATATGAGCCAGGTGTATTTTTTTTTTTTCTACCATGAAAGAAAATACTTTGTAATACTTTAAAGCACAAGACTGATGGAAAAGTTTCCCCTAAATATTTTACTGCAGAGGTATTTTCTTTAGAAGTTGGTTTAGGTTGACTTGCTCAATTAGAGGAAGATCTTTGACCCTGGAAATCCACAAGGAGTGATTATGGCTTTGAAAATCATTTTTAAGAGATTAATATTGTTTGATGACTTAATTAGGAAAGATGCTATAGTTGAATCTCCTTGGAATATTTAAAATTGAGATTGTTCATCCTTTTGCATGTCTTTCTCTTTGTATAAATGCAGTTCCATAAATGGAAATGGCTCGTTGAATTTAGAAATAAATGTATTTACTGGTAATTGTTTAACCTTTGAAATGTAATTACAATTTTATATTCTTGTAGGATTATTTAACCATTCATAAGTATGGCAATGCAGCCAGAAATGATCTCTGGAATACCTTCTCAGAGGTAAAGTATAGGAAGCTTAATTATCAAAACCTCTATCTGAATATTTGAATTGAGTTTATAAGACATTCATAACTTTTATTAACACTGAAAATTTTTTACTTTTTATGTTTCCCTTTTCCTTGTATTGCTTTCTTGTTTTACTTTGGATGTAATATATTATGAAGATAAGGGTTTTTCAATTCTCATTAACTATAAATGGTAGTAAAAATTATCTTACCTATTTTTAAACATGACAACAATTCTAAAATATACATTTACTGTGATGTCAGATCATTATACTAAAGAGATAAACATCAAAGTTAAAAGAAATGTTTTCTCTATGCGAAATCTGAGTAACAAATATTAAATCGTGACCTTAGATATGCTGTGGATGGTTAATGATGCTTCTAGGAATTACTTTAAAAATGCAATATATTTTATTTTCTGTTACATAAAAACAGTAATGTTAGTAAAATTAATATGCTTATATGTGTATAGCTTGACTTAAGGCAAGAAGATTAATTTTACTAGCCTATTATATCAGCTTCATTTATTTTAAATGTTTTCATATTTAGGTAAATTGGAAAGGTAAAAATGAAAATGGCTTAAAGTTAATTATATTTATAAAACTAATTTATACAATTTTGATTGTAAAGGCTTTAAAAAGGAATGGGAAATATGTAAATATACAAGAAGTAATGGATCAGTGGACCCTCCAGATGGGTTATCCTGTTATCACCATCTTGGGAAATACAACAGCAGAAAATAGAATAATAATTACCCAACAGCATTTTATTTATGACATCGGTGCTAAAACTAAAGCACTTCAACTTCAGAATAACAGGTACAACACTCTTTTTATAAAAACAAATTATTTTTACATTTTATTTTGCATTTTTAATATTTTAGAGCATTGATAATACAATTTTGAATTGTCATAAGTTTTATAGTTTTATTTTTTTGCACATGTCGTTTTCATTCTGATTCTATTAATCCCATTTCCTGGATATTTTAACCTTCAAGGTGATGACACGCAATATTACTTGTTTAGGAAGAGAGTTTTAAATGATCATGGTGACTGAAAAATAACATGTGTTGGGGCCAGAAGATGGTGTGGTGGTTAAGGCCAACTGCAGATTGAGTCCTAGACCTGGTGACTTGCTTTCTCACTCTTCCTCTTTCTTTCTCTCTCTCTCTGGTGAGCGCACATGTGCAAATTAAAAAAAAAAAAAAAACTAATAAAAATAAATAAAATTGGGACCAGCAGTTAGCGTAATGGCTATGTCGCTGAACTCCCATGTAGTCAACCATGAT